AGATTTTGCTTCTTATACTTTATATATACATAACTTGCTCCATTATTGCTCTGAAATCCATTTTCTTTTAAGTTGCAGAGTTATTTTAATGCAGAGTTTAACCTCAGGACAAACAAGGTTTACTATTTTACCGTTCAGTAAGTTGCACTGGGAGACTTTTTAGTTGAGAAGTTAATACAATTTTTAATAATAATAACAACAATAGCCTGGGCAAGTCCATCATTGTGGGTTTTTTTTTTACATGACTGAAGCTATGAGGTTTCAATTTGATTGCCCTTGGGTGCCATTCTAATATTATTATTATTTTGTTATTATTTATCCTAGTTCTGTTGGTTTTTGATCTTGTGTTCATTGCCCAGAACTGCAATTATGAGATGAGTAGCTATATAAATCACTTTGACGGATTGCAACCCCTGGACCATCCTGTCTAACAATCTGTTTTCACAGCAACCAACCAATTGCACAAGGATGCCCATTAGTCTTCCAGCAGATGGCCTTCAGAGGCAGTAACACTGCCATCAAAGCTAATAGACATTGATCCCCATAATTTCCTGAATTTGCTCAACCCTTTTTGAGGCCCGCCAAGTTGGTAGTCCACACTACGCATCTTAATTTACATCAACGGAAAAAGGTTCAGGATAAACATTTTATCCAACACTTATCTGGATTTAGATTAAGAAGGAATTATAGCTTGAGGCTTCTGGCATGAACACCAAATGTTCTATTGTTGCCATCATGTTTTTTCCTAGATTGAATGATGGAAACTATAGGCAAGTGATCTCACATTTGAATATCCATCTATGGAAAGAGCAAGATTTTCTGGGAAAAAAACCCAATAGCACATCGAAGGTTTATACTAAAGTGCTGTTCCTTTATTTTGCAGGAAGTAAGGATACTGTCCATTTTTCTGTCTCAGAATTTGACTTCATATTAGTGTATGCATCATATTTACTAGTAGTGGAGCAGGGAAACAACTCTGCTAAAATTTTCCTGAACTGCTTTGGAGACAGATCATGCGTGCCTTGATGGACAAAATGCAAGACTCCATATAAGATGCCTTCACATAGTGCCACAACTGAAAGTGGGTTCTTAAGGGCTTCGAGTTATTGATGCAGCTTAGATGCTTTTTAAAATTTGTTACATTCTCCAAACCTTTAGTAAGGGACACTTAACACGGATAGCATTATGTAGCAATTTATACTCGCCTATTCAGATCTACATTCCACTGAGCTTTATCTGCGTTAAATTCTGTGCCGTGTCAATCTTCACTGCTGGTTTAATTTAGGTTGACTGTATTATCCTGTGACTTAAGAATAAAAATACGAACATAGGCAGTTAGTGAAGAAAAACAAACCATAACCCTGTCCGAAATCATTCCACCGTTTACAGTAATCCAACTCCTCGCTATATTGCCCCAATATTCTTATGCGCATACTCAGTAAAGCTGGCGAAGCCTCCTTTTTCCCAAGAGCATAAATCGCATGTTTTTAACAGGCCATATTCTTGCGACCACGGCAGCGGAAGCCTCTGCCCTCATTAAAGATGGCTAAGTAAGGAAGTCCCACCCCTTATTCCTTGCATTATTATCATGGGTTGGTGACTTCCACTTGCCCGATGGCGGAAGGTGGAACTTCCTGTTCTGACCGGGGCGCCAGCTTAGTGTGTGTGTGTGTCGAAAACTACGGAGTGGTTGACTCGTGAATGACGACCGGAGTATCGGAAAAGGTGCTCTCATTGCTATTTGGGTTTGTGGGCGGGCGTAGAGGAAGGCGATAAAAGCCGCGCTTGTAAGCCGAGGTGAAGAGGAAGAAGAAGAAGAAGAAGAAGAAGAAAGAGAACGAGCCGGAGGAGCCCGCCCGGAAACCGTACGGAAGGTGCCATTGGCCGGAGTATGGAAGCGGAGAAGATGGATGAGAATGAATGGCGGTATCACGGGGAGGGCAACAAGAGCCTCGTCGTCTCCCACAGACAGGTAGCGGCGCTGAGGGGGGGCCCCCGCGCGCAGCCCGCCGTTCGCCTCGCGCTTGTCTCGAGGCGGCGGCGGCGGCCAACGGCTCTTTGGTCTCGGGTAGCGCTCCGCCCCCCCCCCCTGCTTCCCCGTGGCTCCGTCTTTGCTCCGGCCGGCGGTCCCACCGTTACGCTAGTGGGCCGGGAGGAGGAAGTCCTGTCAGTCCCGGCCGGTCCCGGTCCTTCCCGGGATCTCCCGCCATCCCCACCCCCCCACCCCGCCGGAGAAAGCATCCCTCAGACTTGCCGAGCGCGTTTCCGCTCCTCGCCGCCCCNCCCCCCACCCTGCCGGAGAAAGCATCCCTCAGACTTGCCGAGCGCGTTTCCGCTCCTCGCCGCCCCCCCCCTCCCCGCCCTTGGCTGGTGGGAAGTCGCCGGTGGATCTCTTGCCGGGCCCCCGTTCTCACATCCTTCGAATTGGGGTTCTGCCCCTTTCCGCGCTCTTGCAAAGTGCAGTTTGGGTGGTTTTTAATTTTTTTTAAAAAAATAATAATTCAGTTTCTACTTTCCGTAAGTGTAGATCCCGAAAGTTAGTGTTGGAATGCAGAATCGAAGCGAGATTGAAAACGGTCAGAGCAGGGGTTCTCAACCTTGGCAACTTTAAGACTTGTGGACTTCAACTCCCAGAATTCCTCAGCCAGCAAAGCTGGCTGAGGAATTCTGGGAGTTGAAGTCCACAAGTCTTAAAGTTGCCAAGGTTGAGAACCCCTGGGTCAGAGGAAGCAAACTGTCATCAGTTTGGGAAAGCATGTCTTGCGTCTCCTTGGTACACAGAGGAGCCGCAATGCTGCCGATCGGGATTAAAACATTTCACCTCCGCCCAATAGCTTGAATGTGAAGTTGTACTCCATCGTAAATCCCGAATTCTTACCGGAATTCTTCTTGGAAAAACTCCTGAAGTCGGTGTAGAAATAGGCTGAAAGCAAGACCTTTAAAGCCGTATGCAAAGTGCCTGAGTCATACTTTTAAAGCAATTGCATTTGACATCACAAGCTAAGTATGTAGGAAAGCAAGCTGTTATGATGTCCTAGAAGAGGCATTACGGTATTCAAATGACCTCTTATATCTGAGTCAAAGTTCCTCTATCCAAAAATATTAAGAGAAATACTTTTTTATTAAAAAGTCAATAAAGCCCCTGTTGGAAGCTTCTGAGACCATGTCATGATTTCATCCTTTAGCACCTTCTCCTTTTTCTTTTAAGAAGTAATGTACTGTAGAGATTAATGTCTTGGGCTTAAACAGACATTTTGCATTTTGTCAAACTACAAAGAATGCTGCATGACTTTGACACATGATTACCTCTTAGCTTAAGAGGTAAACGATTTCTTAAATGAAGGGTTAGCCAATAAATAATACGCATTCAAGGATTCCTGGCATTCTTATAATTGTTTATTTTTCCAAAGACCTTCTTGAAACAAATGTGGGACAAACATGTACAATGTGGCATTTGGAATTCTTTCCAGCCCTGTATTCAGCAGTCATCTGTAGTTTGTTCTGTGTTACAATGTTTCGCTGTGCTTCTCTCATGTTGTATCTGTCTGGGATGTATATATTGCATGCATTGGGAAACATGGAGCAGGCTGCATATGCTCTGCTCATGTGGCTGGGAAGAAGGAGGGAAGGGCTTAGAATAGCAGTGTCACCAAGTTTTGGAGTCATTGCCCAACGGCCTCACCCTTAGGTTGTACTGAGGGAACTGATAGAAGGTTTACCTTGTATAACATTCCTTTCAAATATTCATTTGGGTTATAAAGAATAAAAATATCCCATTTTATGATAATTAACTTCTTTTGTACTAAAAACCACGTTACAATGTTTTCATTTCTTTGCCAGGTTTTTGGGAGGGGCAAGATAAAACATACTTGGTAAAGCACAACATTGCATCCAATTGTGATTTGTAAAGCCATAGTTTATTTTATTGCATGAACCATGTGGCAAGCCATTATTAGTGAAATTATTGTTTGAGCAATTTGACTTGCTCTTATTTGAAAACATCCCATGATTTGTCATGCTGCATCCCCAGAAGTGGCTATTTGTAATAGTTCCTTGAAATTCTTTACATGGATTGGGAAGGAAATGATATAATCAGAAGTTTACCTACTGTATACATCATGAAGATGCATCACGATAACTAAGATTAACGTTAATGATCAACTAATAGCCAGCATTTAATTTTGGCTACTTTTCTAGTCACAAAATAATTTTGTTTATACATTAATGGGCTTCTGTGGAGTAATGGAAAATACTTATGCCTAGAGAAGTATTTTACAAAGTAATTTATATTCATTAATGTTGGTTCCAATAGAAAATGAATAGAATAAAAACAAAACCCAAGGATTGATAGAGTTTGCATTTTATGCTCTAACTGCCTTAAGCTGATTCTGTTCTTTTCTTCACAACAGAGGTTGAACATGTACCGTATATTGAAGAGTTCAAAGCAGGTTCTGCTGCTTTTTTTTCTTTAAGTTTAAGCTAACAAATGCCATTGCCTTCCAAGTGTATAATTATACTAGACATCCAATGACCTGTTGGATCATCATTTCAGAGATATTCCCTTTCTCAAACAGGGAAACTGAATGACCACAGACGGACAAAAAAGCAATGGGAGAAGGAATGATTTCCAACTTCCTGTAGGTTTCTCCATTGACTTTCCTTCTGGGAAGCTGACAGAGAGTTTGGGAAATGGCAATCACATGACTGTAGCTGACTGTAACATTGCCGAAATGGTCACAATTTTGCCAAGTTTCAATCCCAGAGAGTAATGGGTCTTGGGTTTTGGATACATTCTTTAAGTTAGCCCATTTGAGGTTCCTTGATTCAAAAATTATTGCCTTATGATGTGCCATTTTGCTTAATTGAAGGTGACCAACAGACAAACAGAAGAGTTTTAATAGTAGATAAATAGTTTAGGAGCAATGCTAAATATTCAGTATTAAATTGCACTCTCTTCTATTCCAAACATTGGGATAAGTTGAATATGAGATTTATAATTGTCTGTAATGCCAAGTACTATCTTTTGATATCTAAGTACAATTTTTTTTACTTTTAGTTATCCAAAGTTTTAGCTAGAAGTATATACCTTTACACTGCCACTCATCTTTAACAAATACCTCTTTAAACAATGGTGGTTTTAGTTGCTATATAGCAGTAGGGCCATGAAATGGGAGATGTATTTTATTGGAGAAAAAATGTTGCATCCAAAAGATTTATTTAATGGATGGACCATGTTTCAATGGGGCAAAACTGAAACCAGTTTGAGTTACTTGATGCTTTAGTTATGGGAAGTTTCTCAGACTGCAGAAATCCAGATGACTGGATGATACAAACGAGAGAGAGAAAATCCTCAAAGTCTTTGCTGCCATTTAGAAGTAGTTGTCTGGATTTTTGCAGCCCAGATCCCAGCCTATCTTGAATTCACAGTACAATAATTTGTAATGGGTGATATAACTATTTTAGTTGAAAAGAATCTGAGGAGAGAGATTATTGGTGATCTGACTCTGTGTTGTTCATGTATCACAAACATCAACAATTTCTTCCAGAGTATATTATTAATATTGTGCAGTTCACTAAGAAGTTACTTCAAACATGATTGAAAACAGGTTTTTTTTAGGTGGTCTATTCCAAAGATTAAACTTGTTGTCAGAAGCAGGGACTATCTGCCTTCCTCTAAATCGTTAAACAGTTTACCTGCATATAAGTTGTATCAAACATCTTTGCTGTTACCTTCAGTTCTTCATGTGGGTTATTTTTTCATCCATGCACATGAAGTCCAGAATGATAAGGATTGTCCCTAAGACACGACTTACTTATTTTGAACTCTGATTTAGTCACTTGCTGACTGAAACAAGTCATGTTCTGATGAGTTTCTGCCTCATCATCCGAGAGCTGCATGCTAGATAAAATTTATTTGCCTATATTCATTCTTAAAGAAAAGGGATTTATTTTGTTCACTTTTATTTTAACTGATAGCAGCCTATTCAGTAGTTCAAATTACCAAATCATGTTAATTTTGCACTTTTTTTACATTCTAGCATTGCATAGTACTACGCTTCTTGAAGTTTCCTCCAAACCGAAATAAGGTGAGTTAGTTTAATGTTATTTTTTATTATTTTGCTAAAGAGAGATACTATTTATTTCACATTGCATACCAAAGTAGGAGAATTGTGTGCAACTGCACTATATATTACTTATCATTTGCTTTCTGACTTTCTAGGGAAAAAAATCATACAATCTGCAATTTGATTAAAATGTAAGCTGGAATCTAAGGTTATCAATATTAGGTTAATCTTTTTAACCAATTAATAAATTATATTCAGTTAGTAAATTATATACAGAATGAAATATTGTTAAAGGTATCTTTTGATAATCCTTAACAAAAAGCACATGAACTTACATGAAATATAGCTTCCATATTTCTAGAAATATTATTTTACAGTAATTGGTTCAAATGGTTTCACCAAAAGAACCATTTTTAAATCATTGATATATAGCTTAAATTATTAGGAAAATCCCATCTGTATAATCTATAAAAACAATAAGCCGTTGTCTTTTGGCAGTGTTATATATCTTTACTTCTCGTGAACCAACAAACATTTATAATAAGGAGGCCAATTCTGCTTTATAAATGTACCTGGTCTCTGAATAACAACAACAATAATATAAGTAAACCTATGCATTGACAAAATTTCCATCCATCAGTTTCAAAAAGCCATGCTTCTTGGATCTGCCTCTATACTGTGCCAATAAATTATGACATACCAGGTTCTTGGGAATAATTTGATGCATATGACAGCCAATGACAGCTAAAGAATTGGCAGCTGTGCTTTAACATTTTGTGTATATAATAATAATAATAATAATAATAATAATAATAATAATAATAATAATAATAATAATAATAATAATAATAATATGATTTTGGAAAACTATAAGAGAAGGAAGACCAACTTGATTATAGTTTGGATTATTACAAGAAGGCATTCAACTCCCTGCCACATGACTGGATAATCGAGTGCTTCAAAATAACAGGACTCAGTAGAAACATCAGAAGCTTTGTGCAAAGATCAGTGGAACAATGGAAGACACTAGTCAGTGGTAATAGATGGGACATCCTTCAGGCTCTAGCACACTGGAATCAAGAAAATTAGTAGTGAATACACCAGAAGAGTGAAGATGATTTTAGAATTCAAACTCTTTGGTGGAAATACCATCAAGGTGATTAGCACCTGGACAATTCCAGTCATTATATATCCAGTTGGAATGGTGGATTAGACTTGAGCTGAAGTAGACGCTCTAAAGACCAGAAAAATAATGACAATGAATCATGTCCTTCATCCACGCAAAGGTGTTGACAGACTCTATTTACCATGGAGCATAAATGGGTGAGGAATATTGCAAGTATACCAGACAGTTAAAGAAGAAAAAAGGACATTAGAAGAACATCTAAAGGACAATGAAGAAGATGCATTGAGCATAGTACACCATGAAGGCTTACTGAATATCCAAGAGACTAAATTATATATATAAGAAAGACCAACTGAAGAACAGAAAAGAACTATGACAAGGCAAAATATTACATGGCCAGTGCATTAAAAAACTAGTAGGTGAAGTAGATAATAACAATAGAGAAGAATAGTTGCAGCTCAGGGTTGAAATGACGGGATAGGGTCAGATAATAACAGGATCTGGCAATGCCTAAGAGCAGGAAAGTTGAAGAAAGAGACAGAGGGGCTAATTCTCAGTGCAGAAGACCAAACATTAAAAACAAATGCATGTAAAGCCAGAATTGGAAAGACAGCAACAGACAGCAAATGCTGTCTCTGTAAAGAAGCTGAAGAAGCAGTGGACCACCTAGTTAAGTGCTGCAAGAAGATTACATAGACTGATTGCAAACAACGACATTTTCTATTGATGGATTGGTAGAAATGTTTCTGATTCAACTGAAATTGGAGATTCTGTGTGTAATGTGCAATTCAAGATTTGTATCTGCTGATTTTCTTGGCTATGGCTATTATTTGCTACTTTATTATTTCCAGTGCTTTTTTGATCTTGGTTTTTAGATCAGATCTGAGCATTTTACAGTCGCAGGGCCACATCTGGCTTGCGGTGTTGGCATCAGCATTGGGGTATCAGCATCGGGGGTGGGATGGCATCAGTGGAGGGGGGCGGTGATGCAGCATCAGTGGGGGGGGGGGGCAGAAGGCATCATCATTCCTTCACAACAGTTCCAGTTTCTCATGTGGCTCCTTGGGGAAATTAATTGCCCACCTCTGCTCTAGGTCATATTTCTTGATTAGGTATTGGTCTTGTTCTTTAGCTTCTTTAGCTTCTTTTCTTCTATCTGTTTTAACTTGCTTGCATTTGATCTTAACATTTTGATCTTATTTTCTAACCCAACCTTCCATTTTGCTGATGCACTGATTGGTTTATTTCTTGTTGATTGATTTTGCATCCAAGATCTTCAGTTATAATTGCAACTATGCTGTGTATCAGTTGTTTAGTTTCTTGAAATGAGTTGGTGCTTAGTTTTGATATTACAATATTGGCATCATTTAATACTTGTGCAGGGTCAGTCAGTTTGGTATAGTGGTTAAGAGATCAGAATAGAAACCAGAAGATTAGTCTCAGCTTAGGCATAAAGTCAAATGGATGATCTTGGGCCAGTCACTTTCTCTCAGGAAGGAGGAGGAAGGAGGAAAAACCTTGCCAAGCAAACTGCATGGATTTGTCCAGGTAGTCTCTGAGAATCGGACATGATTGAATGGAAGAAAAAAAAAACACCTTTGGCTAGCTGTTCTTTGTAACAACCTTCAAAGCAGTTATTTGTTTTTAGTCTTTGTATATTTGCGACAGGTAAGGAACTTTTCGTCCAATAGTCCTGCAGCTGCTGGCCCTGATTATTCAGTCACCAGTCTTGAGTCCTGTAACCCACTTATTACCTGATGTGCAGGAACTCCATCACTTACTGCTGGCCTTGTTGATCTGGGCAATGACTGATCTGGTTGACAAAATCACCATCAATCTATTGCAAAGGCAGCTTTAGTTGGAACAGCTTATATCTTATGACAATTCTTGTAATATTATTAACCAACAACATCTGCCTAACCCAATTCCTTGGAAAGGACTTGATAGGTAGACAAAAATGTCAAATCCACTATAAATATCCGGTTTTGACCAACCACAATGATAAATTTTATATGGTGCCTGACTCCCAGAGATTCTGAGTGGTTTATCAATTGTTTAAAAACCCATTAAAACAAGAAAGCAATACAAAACAAAAAAGAGGGCAGAAACAACAAACTCAGATGGGAAAAAAGAAAAAGAAGAAAAGAGGGCTTCAATGACACTAAGCAAGGCCCTAGGCAAAGAATCAGGTCATACTCTTGATTAAATGTAATCAAACAGACTTGAATTAAAAAATATTGAATACTGAAATTTCAAATATTTAGGTTCAGCTATATTTCCATTATGGTTTTGCATATAATGGTATACTCAAGATATTTAGTTTCTCTCTCTTATAGATCATGCCCAATATATCCAGATTTGTAAACCTTACTAGAGCAACGTAAATAATAATTGTTTCTTAAACAGTTATAAAAACCCTCCAAAATTTCCTTTGAATTCTTAACTACATATTAAATGTAATGCAATTGTAGTTAGTAATGTCATAAAAAAGCATAGATGTATTCAGTGAGTAATTAAATTACATTGCAGCCTTATCATATGATAATATTGCAAATAAATGAGGTAATAGTTTCATAAAACTATGCTGCCCAACTCTCAGTTATTCTGGGAGGCTAATAATAATCAGAAAATTATAATCAAATCAATAAAACATAAAAATAAGGTTAAAAGATGGCAAGCATGATGAAGTGAGGGTGTAACTCTTCAATATGTTTAATCCAAGTTGGGATTAACACTAACCTTTTAAAAATGACTAACATATGCAAGTAAGCACATAACAATCCTAAAATTTAGGATGATTGCTAAATACTTAAAATTTTAACATAAGGACAGTGCAACAAATAGAAACTACAGAAAGAAGAGGAAAGGAAAAAAAATAATCCATTGAGAATTGTGCTCACTTGAGGTTGGATTTTGCCCTCTATAAACGTATCATAGGTGAAGAAGAAATGAGATGGCTAGAGTTTACCAATTTAGAATTCTGTTTAATTGCTCTGTTTCAAAGTTCACTCTCATATACTTGATTCTTCATGCGTGTTCCATTTATAAAACCAATAATGAAGTTCAAAGGGGACCTTTAATTTCATCATTTTATGTTAAGATTCTAAAATAAAATAAAGTTGAAGACAGTGCAAAAAAGAAAAAAAAGAAAAAGAAAAAGAAAAAAAGAGGTTGCTGGGCCATGTCTGTATAGTACTGGGTTAAGTGCAAGTGGGGAAATGCTCTTAGTTTTCCCATCCAAATATCCCTGGCAGTGACATCTTAAAAAACCAAGGTAATTAGATTTTGCTCCTATATTGATTGTCTTTCTGGTTTCCTTCATACTAATTTAAATTTTTAGTAAATTCAAAAACTCAAAATAGTTGGCACCATTGTAGGTAAAGGACTTAGTTTTGATATTAATTTCTGAACACCATATGGAAGGCCATATTTCAAACTCATGCTTATTTTGTTATTTTCTTGATAGGAAAGATAGTTGCCTTGAACAAACTGTAACTTTCCAGAAGAGGTGGATTGACAATGTTTTCAGTGAAATGCTGAGTACTGATGAATGTACTATTTGTCTTGGTGGATGTTATTGTCTCTGTAGGCATGGATTGGTACAAATACGAGGCTGACTTTCCTCTTACAATAGTTTTGGAAAAGAACAGCCTCTCTGTTTCTAATGTTAATTACCGCTCCCCTTACTGTGCTAATTGCAAGTGTTTTGTTAAAGGGTATCGTACAAGACTTTATGAATATAGTTTGGAACCAAGATATTTGTAAATGTGATTTAAGCTGATAGAAGTGGTATAAAGCTCACGATGTTGAAACATATTTAAAAAGAGGAGAATAGATAATTCTTTTTGGAGTACTCACAATATTGAGTATTAAAAATGACTGCATTTTTATTTTTTGCTCAGTTTATTTATAATGATGATCCTTTTGATTGAGATTTAGAGGATTTTGAATTTTTGCTAAATCCTTAGTCTAACCTCTTAACTAAAATGAAGCAATTATCTTTTTCATTGAGCTTCAGAACCTATATTACTTATCCGCATATAATCTAACACACAAAAGTCTGCTAGTATGACATTCCCTTCTATCCATAAAACCAAAAAAATATATGTATATTTTGAAGGTTTACAAAATATGAAGCTTCCTTTCAAAGCCTGTATAAAATCATGTTTGAATCAGTTATGTAATGCATTTTACATTCGTTTAATTAATGCTTTCAGTAAAGTTGCCTAGAGGTACATTCTGTTAAGTATTATTCTATTTAAGTAAAATCTCTTTTGGGTTGACTTCCTTGTGATTTCATGGACTTATCCATGCTGCTTTTTTGGCAGCAATATGAAAGTGGTTGGCATTGCTTTCGTTTGTGCAAATTTTCCACAATGTCTTCAACCTGGTATTCCCCTGAGATCTTCCCTTGAAATACTAATTAGGGCCAGTCACTTTTTGTTTCTGAGCCCAGGCAAGTCTACTGAGGTATTGCATCTTCTGAGGCATTATTTCATGTACTGCTTGCTTAATTAGCCAATTAAACATGTTCTCTGTCAAGTAAATATAGCATTTTCACTCTGTGAGGATTGCCCTTTCAGAGAAGCTGTTTTATTATTGTTTCTTCTTATATTGTATTATCCTTTTGCTATACCTACCATGCTACTCTTATACCAGAAACAGATTTTGTTCCCTTTGACTCTTATGTCTTGATCTATTTCAGAATGTCTGAATTTACGTAATTCTCCAGGAATAAGGCTGGATAGTTGGCCAGACCGAAGAGTTTATCTTTATAAGATGAATAGTTATTATTTTGCTAAAGAATAAAGTAGATAGAAGTCTTTTATACATAGGAAAGGATTTCTGGAGCTGGAAGCTAGTCTCTAACTCTTCTATCAATATATTTGACAAAGGGCTGAATTCAATTTTAAGGCAGAAATAGACATTTAATATAGTTATATTAGGAGTGGAGTTATTTAAAATGTTCCATGCAAGGACTGAACCATACACAGAGCAAGCAGTTCTGGGCAATCAAAGTCCAGGGAGAAACTTGTGTTTCATATAGACATGGTCACAGAACAGGTATTCTGAAACAAGTACAGTAAGAAAAAAAAAAGATATTAGAGTTTGTATACATTATGTATTAACTAGATGGAGAAAATAAAGGTGTGGGAAAATAAAGGAAAGGGTGAACGGGAGAGTGGAATTGGTACATGCAGCAATAGTGGGTGTGCCAGCAAGGTAGGAGAAGCAAGAGAAAGAAAGGTGTGGAAATATCAGGTTTGAAGTGGGCAGCCAGATGGATATGCATTTGATTTCAAGTACATCAGTGGCAACAGTGACATACAGCAAAGAGAAAGGAGGAAGTAGGAAAATTGAGACTGGGGCAGTTGCACAGGCCTACCTTGCAGAGGAAGTGATAAGAAAAAGGTGAGATGCTGTAGTCTTTCCTTCTCACCTGGTAACTGTTTTCTGGATTTGCCTTGGCCCAAAGTGCAAATGTTCCAGGTTCTCCTTCATCTGGACAGTGACCTCACTTAGAATGGTCCATCTAGCCATAGTGTCCCAAAACATATTGTTCATTTAATATGTTTCTAACTTAGAGCTGATATTACTGAGATGTTAAAGACAATACTTCAGAAATTAATTTTATTTGAAAAGTGCTTATTAAATCATAATGCTGATCTAAGAATACATGTTGTTAGCTTTTTAAAAATACACCAGAGATGCTGCAGATTTATTTTGCGTTTTCACTGAAACGTAACTAATATTTTTACATCTTAGCTTTTGCCATTTCTTATTCATTTCTTCTTCTATGAACCAGTGATACCTTTGTTTCCTTTGATTGCTATTGTTACCAAATTGCTACACATGTACATTTTTTAGGATTTATAAATTGTACACCCAGATTATCAGAAAACGGTCTCTCTTGCACTGAATTATTTGATAGGCAAATAATAATTGCTGCAGGTTGATTATGTGTGTCTAAAATATGTAACAGAGAAATATAATTTGAGAGAAAACTAGTTTTGGTAGCAATGTTAGCTAAAGGTGCGAATGATTGATGAGGAAAGACAGAGTTATGTAAATTTGTATTTGGTTTGGCATTTAATACAAGGAGTTGTGTTCTCTGCATATTTGAAATAATCTTTTTGTACATAGATTGACAATTATTTGATCCAGAGTAGTTAGAATTTCTACCTGTTAGTAATGCGTATTTTGTTTCGCTAATTATTTATGTTTGTTTTTTTTAGACACCAGAAGAAATCTCTCATCATCTTCAGAACATAGTATATTTTGGTAAACACATCATGAAGCACTTTTTTGGGGAGAAATATGTTCATCATGGGGTAATTATTATTTTCTTATTTTTTTTAAATAAAGTTTTTTTTCTTGCAATGTTTTATAGCCTCAGGTGGTTAGCTTGATTTTGACACAAAGAAAAAGTATGTATTTTAACTTATATTCAGATCACATATATAGAAGATAAAGCAGTGGACAAAACCTCTTGTATACATTCAGAATAGTTGCCTTAAACTTTAAGTTTCCTGCAGCAACAAGAGGGCAAGCACTTGAATGTGGCTGTCCATGATTCTGCCATTGATCATTTACAATTACCCCCTTTTTAAGAAATGGGGTAGAAATTGTACATGATAAAGTTTAAAAAAATATTGATATCATGGGTCATGAAATGATTGGATGAAAACATTTTGTGAATAAAAATATTACCTGTACCCTACTTCCACATGAAAAGGTGTAAGATGTAAATTGAGCATTATTGAAATATAAATTTAAAAACACCCTCAATCATGTAATTGATAGGAACAAAATTCAAAGGACAAGAATTCAGGTTTTCCTTATATATTTCCCTCATTATCTTAATATTCTTTTATACTGTACTTTCTACCAAGACATGCATTCAAAGCTACTAACACAATAGAAGTAAAATAAAAACAAATCTATAGAATTCAAGCAAATACTTTTAAAACGTTAAAATGTAGGACAGGTTTTCCTTGGCTTATGTCCATTCATTCAGTGACTGTTCAAATTACAGTGATGCTGAAAAAAATGGACATATGACTGGTCCTCAAAGTTAAGGCCATTGCAGCACTCCCATGGTGATGTGATTGCGATCTGGATGTTTATGTGCCTGGCTCACAATTACATAGCCTGCACCATCTTCCTATGATTTAAGCACAACCTGTGCCAGTCCTCTTAGCCCCTCCCTCGGCCTCTCTCACCATCTTGCAGTATCCCCATGTTCCTTACCCAGGACTCCCGGCACTTTGTTTAATCTTGGGATTACCAGGCAACTGGGACTGCTCTGGATTGCCATCACTAATCGCTGCTGTCACATGATGTCACATTTTATGTGACACACTTCGCTTAGTTACTCTCCCACTTTTCCTTATTTGTCTTTGACTTAGAGGATGTTTTTCTTTTCACCAGATTAACCTTCATTTTATTTTTCTAATTTATTATTGACATCAGATTACAAATCAACACTATCCAACATATAAAAAATATTCTGGTAGGTATTATAAAGTTGATTTCAATCCTTCATCAAAAAGGCTGTTTATTAAATATTATTAAAAAGGAAAGAAAGACAGAAAGTGTATTTAAAGTTCACATTTGCTTAAAAAGGCACCCTCCTGTGCCACTGCCAGGAAAGGGAGTGGAATTGGGAGACACCTTCTCTAGTCTTGTCCTTCAGTTGGAAAGTTGAGTTTGGATGATTCATGCATTTAGTGGCTGCTTGCTCTTGACTGATAAACTTAAGGAGCTAAGTATTTTGTAAATTTTGATTGGTTTTGAAAATGTGATTACATAAATATTTAGTAATGAGGGATAGGAGACACAGATACAATAATGTTTAGTGTATAAGAACCATTGGAATCAGGAATTATTCCCAAAGTTAGTGGTTATTACTAAAAATATTATATAACCAAAGGAGTTTTTGTATTCCTTTTCTAGGGAGAGGCTGGCAAACATTATTATTCAAATAATGACTATTGAACTAAATTGAACTGAACGCTGAACTTTAAGGCAGTATTCTCCCCTTCTTTCTCACCTTTTCACTCAAATGTTCCTCAAGGCGTGTTTACTCAGCAGTCATTTTTATTTGAAAATGGTGTCTCCTTGCTATGCATATATATATATATATATATATATCAATTTCTTCTGTAAACATATAGTTTTTTAAATTGTTTTATAGGGCAGCTTTGATTATTATCGACTGATATAAAGAATATAAAGAAAAAAGTAGTCCTTGTTTGGGAACTTCAGTTGATTCTGGCAAAATGATTACTTAGCGACACAGTCACTAAACAAATCACATGAGAGAGAGAGAGAGAGAAAGAGAAGAGGGGTTTTAATCAATATTTTAAATTGGACAATCTTTAATATTTCTTTTAATTAATTTTAAACCTGTATTGTTATTTATGTATTTTAATTGATTGTCAGCCGCCCTGAGTCCTACGAGGAGAAGGGCGGGATATAAATCTAAATAATAAATAAATAATAAATAAATAAATAAATAAGACTGCTGGTTGCTGTTGTCATATTTAAAGTTCTGTCATGCAGCAATTCCAGTGTTACTCTGTCTGGCATGCTTTACTGTGAGGTGCAAAAATTTGGGTGTAAGTGCACATATTGGTTGGAAAGTGATTTTTATATTACTGTTTACTACATGTTATTACCATCGTATTTGTAAACAGTCATTATCCAAGTCGGTTGTTAAATGGGGATTACCCGTATTACACAGTTTACATAAAGCAATAGGAATTATCATCAGTATAATAAAAATATTTAAACATCTTTTAAATCTTTTAGGAAGTTGTCCAGCTGTCTTTGGACTTTGTGAAACAGCTTTGCTTAAAGATCCAGGCAGAGAGGCCAGGTAAGAAGTTAAAATAATGGCACAGCTATTTGAACATAAAGTTGAAACAGTATTTTCTGAAACTTGGCTAATCTCAACTCATGTGCAAGTAGATTCAGTTTTCTTGAAAAGAGTACAGAAATGTGGTTTGCCCTTGTCTTCTAGGTTTTTCCCCCAATTTCCCAATCTAGATTACTGCCCTGTTATTCCCTTGAAATCTTCCGTACAAGGATTATTAGTACCGCTGAGAAGAAGAAAATTAGTTTTATGTAGATTATAACCACATGGTTCTTGTCTTGTGTTTAGCCCAAAAAATTTTAATGGTGTAATTACATTCATGTGACAAACAGATCTTGCTTATAGAATTAATTGTTCAGTTATTAGAATAAACATTGGTGTTGCCTTCAGTACAGGTAGTTCTCGATTTATAACTATTCTTTTAGCAACCGGTCAAAATTACAGTGGCACTGAAAAAAGTGACTTACGACCAGTCTTTGCAGTTAATGACTATTGCAGCTTCCCTGTGGTCAGGTGATCAAAATTTGGGTGTTTGACAACTGACAAGTACTTACAATGGTTACATGTGATTGTCACTTGCAACCTTCCCAGCCAGCTTCCAACAAGCAAAGTAAGTGAGGGAAGCCAAATTCACTCAATGACCCATGTGATTCACTTAACAACTGCAGTGATTAGCTTTATAATCATGGCAAAAAGGTCATAAGATTGGACACGACTCACTTAACAACTTAGCAATGGAAATTGTAGTCTCAATTGTGGTCATAAGTCGAGGACTATCTGTACTCTTTTCGTACAGTGGAGCTAAACAAACTGAGATTTCAGAATTTTATATTGCCTTCTGAAACTCAATTCTTGAGTCCTTCCAGAAATTGCTAACAAATTTTAGTTTCTAATGTGCTGTATGGAACAATAAAGTTAATTACATTACTGTAATTTCAATTCAACACAAGTTAAATTATGCCAAATTTAGCCTTTGTTCTCAAGCTAAATTTTTGGAGTTTGCCCCTATAATGCCTCTTTGCTGCCAAGTATGTTCCTGAAAAAGTTTGTGTAGCTTGATCTATTAGTATATATACCTGTCTAGATACTTGAATACACTGGCTTCTGTTTTCCCCTACTGTCCCTCATTTCATGTTGGAATTGGATTTTCCGTTGTTAATAAGTGTTGAACACATAATTAACTGGGACAAAAATACTTCATTACGGTTGTAATACTTACCGATCCCTCAGACATAAAAGCCTCTATTCTTTGAAAGTTTTCCAGTAGTATATCTGGAGAGTTATTCAGGACAATAAAAGCAGGTTAGGCCAGCGAATAGGCAAATAGTACATTTCCTTTTTCAGAATAACTTGCCCTTTTAAAAGAGAAAAATGTAGCGGTATAATGGCATATTATTGATCCTAAAGCTGGTTCAACTTGTACTTGATTGCAAAATAATAATAAAAAACCCACATGGGCTTTGCTGCAATAGGAAGCACATCTCTTAAATATTTTCCTCAAAGTTGGGTCAAAATTTATTTAGTTAATGGAGTATAATTTATTTGTGCCTATTATATTTATTGGGTGAATAATTAACATCTCTAACATCTAATACATTGCATATTTGATATTATGTATGGCATAGATTATTTGTTTTTATTTGTTTTTACATTAAGTAGACACCTTTCTCCAGCATAGTATAAATCAAAATAAAGATTCTCCTGACTTAAGTTTGATTGTTTGTGATTAAATAAATGTAGCACCACCCCCAAAGGGACCGCTAAAGTCCGGGCCCTCCTGACTTCCTCTTCAGCTGGCTGCCGGCCCAAGGGGTCTCTCACGTTGGCTCCTCTGCCTGATAGGGCATGTAGCACGGTGATGCTCAGTCACAGTTGGCAGCCACGCACATGGGGCGGTGATGGTCAATCTCTTTCGATGGTAACTCACGTGGAATGATGATAGTTGATCTCAGGCAGAAGAGCTTACAGGGGGGTGATGGTAGTCAGTTCCTGGTAACAGTAGCTGGCGTACCATGATGGTAGTCAGTCCCTGGTAACAGCAGTTTGCGTAAGACAATGGTAGTCAGTCTCTGGTTATAGTAACTTGTCTATGACAATGGTAGTCAGCCTCTGGTGACAGCAACTTGCCTAAGCCAATGATAGTCAGTCTCTGGTGACAGCAGTTTTCCTAAGATAATGTTATTCAGTCTCTGGTAACAGCGATTTGGTAGTCAGTCTCTGGTGACAGCAACTTATCTAAGACAATGGTAGTCAATCTCTGGTGATAGCAACTTGCCCAAGACGATGATAATCAGTCCCTCTCTGGAGCTCACAGGGGCCTTCCTTTATCCACTCTGCTCGTCTCTCTCTGCCCTCACTATATGTAATCTCCCCGCTCCCTTCCTTATCCCCTTTTTGCCTCCTCCAGCTGATCCTATAAAAACCCCTCTACTTCCCACTAAGACATACCCTCAACCCAGTCAAACTCTTTCCTGGCTCTCCCTCCACCCAGCTTGCTCCAACAAGGGAGAAGAAATAAAACTCCCCATCCTACCCTCTCTCCCTCTCTTCATCTGGCCTGCCCACAACAAAGAAAAAAACAATAAAAACTTCAGCAAGCTACTCTCGTTCACTATCTCCCCTCTTTGTGCAGCTTGCCTGCAACGAAGCAGAAAAACACAAAGACCCCACCTTCTTACTCTCTCTCTCTCTCTCTCTTTGCTCAGTTGGCTGTGAATGGCAGGCTCCAATAAGCTACTCTCTCTCTCTCTCTTCCTCAGCTGGTTCTGCTCGACGTCCAGCCAAATGCCACCTTCCGGTCTCTTTCTCTCTCCCTTCGCTCAGTTGGCTCTGCTTGACGTTCAGCCAAACACCACCTTCAGGACTCTTTCTCTCCCCCTCCCCGTCGGCTTCCTCCTCTCTTTTCTTCCCTCCTCAGAGCCACACCCTGCCGCCAGACCCACAGCAGCTACCAGAGCTCCTCATTTCCCTACCGGATTGGCAGGGCTCCCGCAAAACATTTCAGCCGGCCCCATTCTCACCCCAGCTCTGCTACATAAACATGTCCATATTGGTTATTTGGTATCAATATGGAAGTGACCAACCACTGCTTTATTTCTGATTTTTTTTTCCAGTTTGCCTATAAATGTAGATCCTAATCTTCCCTCCCAGACTTAATCAGGGCTGAGTTGATTAATCATTTACATTTTTATAAATCATCCAAGATTGATTAGAAGATACTTATTTACTTTTGAAACAGGTTGATAATTCAAACCTTCTTAACGCTTAACCCAGTGGTTCTCAACCTTTTTAATGCCGTGACCCCCAACCGGTCGTAAGTCGAGGACTAAACCGGTCGTAAGTCGAGGACTAAACCGGTCGTAAGTCGAGGACTACCCAACCGGTCGTAAGTCGAGGACTTTCCCTGCCCGGGAGCGCCGCGTATGCGTGGTTCCGCCCCCTGCGCCGGCCGAGGCGTAACTGGCAAGTGGCAGAGACGGAGCAGGCCGACCACCAGCTGGCCCAGCTCAAGGGAGGTAAGGCACCCGCCGGAAAAGGGGAAAAAATGGCGGACAGCCTTGCTTGGCGACCCGTGAAATGGTTGATCGACCCCAAATGGGGTCCCAACCCATAGGTTGAGAACCGCTGGCTTAACCTGTCTACCATGTAGCCGAGCTTCATATCATGGTTCAAAATCCAAAGTAAATTTTAAGATCTTGTATTTTTCAAATAATTACTTCAGAGAATTTTTCAGCATAATTGCTACATAGATGCTGGAACATTTGTATAATTGAATTAAGCCATATCCTATTATTTTGGAAAATATTTCATTTTTTCCCAAGACTACTTACAATTTTTATTGAACACTTTTACATGAAAAAAAGACAAATATAAAAACATAAATAAAAAATAAACTGAAAAAGATAAAAGAAAAAGTGTAAAAAGCAATACAAATAACGAAAGGAGAAACAAAACAAAAGATAATTAAAGAAGTGACTTCCAATCTTCATTGCAACATACTATCTATCCCTCCTTCCTTTCTAAGATTGCATTACAATGATCCCTTGTATCCCATTTTCATCCCTTTTTAATTTACATATCCAAACGTTACCCTCATTTTTTTCCACTTGCAACAAAAAGTCCATAAAGGAGTTACAGTCTTTTATAAAAGTATTTAAATTTATCTCAAACAAACCAATCAATTCTATCATCTGTGCAAATTTTGCCATCTTCACATCCATTCTTCTATTACTTTAGGAAACATTTCAGAGATGCATTTTAAAATGTAATAACGTGCTTTGGGTAAAATCCAAATAGCATTTAACTTAGAAATGCATTTGATTGAAATTTGTTTTGGCAGTTTTGGGAAAGTAATAACAAAGTTATTGGTCTCCTGTATTGAGTAACATGGAAAGTTTATGTGTGTTGAGCACAATAGTATGTTCTGTGTTTGTATTCCACCCTTCCTTCCTTAAAAAGAGTTCAAAGCAGAGTCTGTGCTTATTTGATAATTTGTAGGGATTTCATTGTGGGTTTCCCATATTGAAACCCAGGAATGACAGTATTGAAGCACATAAGGTTTTTTTTCTCAAATAAAAAATATTGAAATGCCGATGGCTTATTGTTTTGTAGCTGTTTTAGAACTATCAAGAGAAGAATGACATTTGCTGTATTTTCTAAAAATCGTTCTTAGTTAATATATTATGCTTTTATTTGGTATAAACATACAGTATCATAATGTCTGTATATCCATAATTTGAGCCTGATTCCTTATAGGGATTTGACTGATCATAGAAAATGGTATTAAAGATAGGAAATTTGTTACTATAAATGGAAGGGCAGGCCTGAGAGCCATTCACATTAACTATATGAGGGAGTAGTTGATGGCTGTGTGTTTATTTGTAGTGCTCATAAAGTTGAAGTATTAAACATGGGTGTAAGCAGTTACCTCTTTTTCTTTAGAATCACGCTGTGATAAAGACATGGATACTCTTAGTGGTTATGCTTTGTGCCTTCCTAATCTCACCAGGATGCATTTTGTTGAACATCGCCCCAAATTTTGTATAGAAATTAAGGTGAGTACATCAGGAATTTGATACAATCAATACTTTGTGTTCACATTGTTGCAATTATACCACTTTAATTTTATTAGCTGAATGAATGAAATGTTAAACAATGTCGAAACATAATTTTACTGTTTGGTTTCCGTTAGAGGAAATAACTATAAAGGATGAAATGGTATTTTACAACTTATTTAAAATCATAAAAAGTTTTGAAGCCCATTTTAATCAGGCAGAATTATTTAGAATAGAACTATAACACAGGTCATTTTGTATACCCATCCTGATGGCTACTTCTCACAAAGGAAGTAGAATGAAACTGTGTTCTTAGAATGATTTTGTTCCAGCATTCCTCCTTAATGACATCAAATACATTGAAATTATTCTTCTTTTTTGAGTGGCACTTATGCAGATTTAAATATTTGAAAATTTGAAATTTGAACAATTGAAAAATGTTAGAACCATTTAGATTTATGCCAAATACTTCTGGGAATATATCAAATGTTTTATAGCAAGAGTAAAATAAATATTTCTGTTCTTTGTGTGTATTAGGGCTAGAAAGTTTGTGTACTGCTTTTCATAAGACTTCACCAAAAGATTGAAAGATCCTAAAGACCTTATTAGTTATTGGGAGGGCATGGGGGGGTGGGTTGTATTACTTTTAAATACAAAGAGAAGATGTTCTAAATTTTAAACTGAATTTATTCTTGCAGCCAAAATGTGGATTTCTCCCCTTTTCCAGTCATGTTTCACAAGAGATAAAATATAAAGTTTGTCGTTACTGCATGCACCAGCATCTAAAGGTAATGTAGAACTTAAGTGAATTGTAAGCTTTTGATAGCAGAGTGGAATTAATACTCCATTTGAATATGGCACATGTGATTATTTAAAGTCAAAACACTTCTTTTTCAGCTGTGAAGGCCTTTTTATTTGCATTAATCCACACTTTCATGAAAGTGGAGGGAAATGCTTTTGTTGGGAAAAGCGTGAAAGAGAATGTTGGAGATTGTAACTTTCTTAAACTGGGAGGACAGGGAGACAAAAGGCAGGAGGGGAAGTGTCTGGAGATGTTGATGAACTCCCAGCTTGAACACTTCCGGAAATTAAATTAGCTGGAAATTTGAGAAATAAATGAATGCATAGTTGGGAAATCATATGTTCTGTTTGTCAACAGGTAGCAAAAGGGAAGTGGAAACATCTAAGTAAATATTGTCCTCTAGATCTATTCTCAGGGTAAGAAAGTATATTTCATATTTTTATGTATATTTCTTTTATTATGCTGTTGCTGTTATACTTAGTACTTGTTTTGAACAATTCTGCTATATGAAATCTTAAGAACTTTGCTCCTAATGTGAAACATTTCAGTCTGTTAATCCAGAGGTCCCCAACCTTTTGAGCACCAGGGACTGGTTCTGTGGAGAGCGTTTTTTTCTGCGGGCCAGAGGGGGGCGTGGTTTTATGTATTGCCCTACTCGGGCGGGGTGACGCTAGCACTGGCAGGATGCTCGGGGGGGCAATGCTAGTGCTGGCGGGACGCTCGGGGTGGCGAGGCAACGCTAGCACCAGTGGCGTGTGCACATGCACTGGCCATCCCTTCACACAGCCCGGTGGCCAAGCAGTTGGGGCCCCCTGTGTTAATCAACATAGAGCTGCATGGATAAGGCTATGGAAAGAAGCTAATAATGTGCTAATTGGTAAAATAATTGGAACAATTTTCAGGAAAAATGTGAAAAATATGGGTCTTACAAATGACTTCTAAGTGGAACTATTTTAGGATTAAAGTGGGGAATAGTTCCAGTCATAAGATCGTAGAGTTAGAAATAAAATACGGATGTGTTTGAAAGTAGATCTGATAGATCAGAGAGAATGTTTATTTTAGTGGTGGATTGGTTACACTTCATTTTAAATATTCAATTTTTTAAATATATTTTAGAAATAAACAGCGAATGCACTTCGCCTTGAGAAATCTATTATATGAAGCACAGAATAATTTAAAAATATTTAAGGTAAGATGCTCTGAATTTTTCAAGGAAACATTTATTCCTCATCCAGCCTATTTCACTTTATTATTTTTGTTCTAATGTGCTTAACTAGGAAGCAGCTTCTGAGGGTCCAAGCTTCCATCTCCATGATTTAATTAAAACAGCAATCAACACTTTGCTTACTGGGCAAATTACTTATACTGATGTTGTTTGAAATAATCCAATAATCCTTTCCCCTTTTTTATTTTCTGAAAATAATTCAGAAATGTGCTTAATGAACATTATTTGGAAGTTTAAAGTAGAGAAATGTTATAGAAGCGGAAGAATGAATGTGATTTGGCAAATTTGGACAAAAGTATAAAAAATGATAAATCTGGTTGAGAATTATTAAGCTCATTTGAGAAAGCCTACACTAGTTAGAAGCTGTAATAAGCATACATTTTTGGAAGTCTATATGTCCCTTTGTGACAGTCTTGGATTGAAGTTGAGTAGGGATCAATTACATCAGGTTAGCATTTCTGTGATCCTACAGAAGACACAGACATCAAAGATTAGAGATACTGGGCTTCTTTTTTTTTTTTTTATGAAGAAGGACTACAAGAAACTATAAGAAACTATGTTACATATGCAACATAGCTTCAGGTGTTTGAAGTCCAGCATTTAAATGCAAGGGCAGAGGTTAATTACTAGTGTAACCAGCCTCTCTTTTCATCCCAGTTTATCCTGTCTCCCCACTACGATTTGTGTGACCTGTTAGGGTTGAATATGCTAGCCTAGCTGCCATTATCTTCTGATGTAGAAGACTGGAGTCTATAAAGTTCTTTGATGGAGTAGTTCCCTCCTGTAAATTTTTTCAAGGTTTGGAAGGCCCTGCTTCATCCTCCTTTCCCCCTCCCTTCAGTCTTCCAGATCAGTTTCAGTCCTCCAGCTTCTGTGCTGTTCATCAACCAGCTATACTAGTAGCAATAGCAATAACATTTAGACTTATATACCCCCCCTAGTGCATTATAGTACTCTGTATAGTTTACAATGTCAGCATTATTTGTATATTGCCCCCAACAGCCTGGTCTTCATTTTAATGACCTTGGAAAGATGAAGTTGGGTCAACTTTGAGCCTCATCAGGATCAAACTCTGTGGGCAGAGTTTGCCTGCACTTAACCACTACACTCTAGGGCANCTCTAGGGCACCTATTTATATCTAATAGTGAATGAATGCCTGATGAACATCAGTCTCTATTTCAGCTTAAATTATTGCTGGCTGGAAGTGCCATTTCCTCCTCCTTCTCCTCCTCCTCCTCCTCCTCCTCCTCTTCCTCCTCCTCCTCCATAAGTAGGATGAAATCAATGTAACAATATCTAGCATTTGCTGACCTACATTCATATTCAGAAGGGTTTTTTCATTCCAGTTTTGGTTGATTTCAGCCTATGAATCTTAATTAAATATTTTTTCTCTTTTGTAAATTATATCTTAATTTTTATACCTACTATTGGAGCAAGAAATATACAGAGAGAAGCTGTTCTTTGCTGTGATTGCGGGGGGGGGGGAAATATGAGGAAAGCAGTGAATTGGGCGGAGTCTTAAAACCCTCTCTACCTGCTGCTTTCATTTTCCAAATAATGTATTTCTCCTGCTTCATTTAATTTGTCTTGATGATCAAGTAGTTACATAGGGATCTATTATTTATCACTGAGTAAAAGCTTGGTGAAGTAGTTTCCAGCTAAGAATTACTTACTCTCAGCTTTCCAGTTGCAAGATGCATTATCACACACTAATTATAATTCAGATTGTCATAACATATGTATATAGCTTTCACAATATTCCGTTTCAGGATAGCAAATTATCAAAGTAAAGAGAAAAGCAAGAAGGAGTAAGTGAACGAAGGCAGGAGAGAGGAAAAAGAGAGAAAGACTAATTAAATCTAGTTTACACCAGCACCATACATTTTACCTGTTCATTACTTTTTATCCTTGGAATCCATTCTTATTTCTACCATGTGCAAATATTGTCATATATTGGTTTTTGTTCTTTAAATTTCTCATTTGTTCTTTAATTTTTTCATTTGTCTTTGAGGATCTCATCAACTTTATTCAACCAGGATTTTTTTTTTCACTTTTTCTCACCTCTCAAAAATTTTCCTCACTTCTTTCATATATTTATTTTATGTTATTTTATTTATTAAATTTCTAAGGTGCCCATCTCCCCTACAAGATGTCTCTGGGTGGCTTACAAATTAATATACCATTTGAGATTGGCTCATTCATTCTCTCTTCAGAATTCTTTAATACTGGTTACTCACTTTTGCGTTCAATTCACACACATTCATAATTCATTATTGACTTCATCTCTAACTGTTTTACTACACAAAATTTCATGCCTAATATATTTAGCTTAGTTTTAAAGTTCCTTTTGACACATGCAACTCTCACTTCCCTATTTTGAGGCATGTAGATGCTCTTATGTTCACTAAACATTACAAGTCTGCTTCTTTTGCACCAGCATTTACATGTCTTGCAGTTTGCTCCATCCATTTTCCTATACAAATTCATCTTCTTGTTTGTATCACCATTTATATAACTTCCAGTCATTTACTCTACTCTAGTAAGCCTCCGTGCTATCAGCCCCCTCT